GCACAAGGTGAGTCACGTGGACTCCAACCAGGAAGGCGAGACGGACCAACGGCACCCAGTTTGGTCGTCAGTGACTTCATTTCCCGCTGCCAAGTCAACCTCTGTCCACCTCGAGCCTTGCGCCACCCTACACCTGGTAGACTGAACAAGGTCCTCCTGGGTAAGCGGTGACCAGGCATGCGTAGCACGTGCCCGAGCCAACGCAACTTATTCAGTGCTATCTGTTGTTCTAGGGAGCTAGCATGATTATCACCACCTAGTACTCGCCTACGCACATCATCGTTGCGGACACGCTGGTGCCATCCGACACCAGCAATGCTTCGCAGACAACGATGATCAAAGACTTGAAGGCGCCTCAGATCTTCAGACCGAAGGGGCCAAGTCTCACTACCATACAGCAGAACGGCCCTCACTGTGGCCTTGTATACACGGCCTTTCAGACGGAGGGAAACTCCCTTCTGTCGCCAAAGATGACGCAGGTTCAAGAAGGCAGCTCTGGCCTTTGCAATGCATGAGCTCACGTCAGTTTCTATGCGCCCATCATTGCTGATGCAGCTGCCAAGATAAGTGAATTGATCAACCACCTCGAGTTCCTCGTTAGCAAGCGTCAAGGGGTCATCGAGTGGCTGGTGGTCCTGCAGCAACACTTTGCACTTTGAAGGTGCGAAGTGCATACCAAATAATGGACCACTCTAAATAGGCTATTCAGGGTTGATTGTGCCGCCTCAACATTGTCGACAAGCAAGACGATATCGTCCGCATAATCTAGATCAACTAACCGTTCACCAGACAGCACTTCAACACCTACATCGTGAGATTCCTCAAGGGAACACTCCATGATAGAATCCACGACGAAATTGAACAATAACGGGGAAATCGGACAACCCTGTCGAACGCCACTTGTAGTCGAAAAGCTATCCGATAGGGCACCATAGACCCTGACGCGGCCTCTAGTGTTCGAGTATAGAGCACGAAGGATGTTCACATATTTCGTGGGAACACCTTTCCGCGCAAGTATTTCGAACAGAATCGATCGATCGACTGAATCGAACGCACTCTTGAAATCGAGGAACAAAGCTATTGTCAGTCTGCGGTATGCGTGGCGCTGCTCTAGCACCTGCCGCAAAGTAAATATATGGTCTATACAGCCACGTCCCTGGGCGAAAACCCGCCTGCTCTTCCCTAATCCGAGATTCCCGTTCTGCAGTGAGGCGACGAACGATAATCGAGGCCAGTAATTTTGTCACAACTGGCGTTAGGCTAATACCCCTGTGGTTCGCACAGTCTGTGCGACT